ATAAACTTAAAATTCCTTTGGTAATTCTTTTTTCCTCTCCTAATTACAGACCAATGTTAAACCAAAGGCCCCCTCGCCTTTTATATTGTGCCTTACCATTCTCTAAGGAGAGTAGGTAAGCAAACTAGTAAATAGCTAAATTAATTACCTTCTGTGTCTCAATGTGCTTCTCCAATATCTCCTGCTTCTTCTTTCTCACATCCTGCTGTAGTTTTATGGCCTCCTGTGTGAGCAAATATGAGAAATGACCCTGTCTGTTTCCAGACTACTTTTTACAGCTAAATCCACTCACTCCTACATTCCATCATCTTCTTTAGCTCTCACCAGCTTCTTCTTCATAGTGTCATCGGAGGTCCTCTGGGCAAGCTTCCGAGCAGCAGGGTTGTATACGGTCTTTGTGATCCCAGTCGAAGTTGAAAACACCTAAAGAAGAAAACCAACCAAAACCACAGCATATTGAGAGATGCATGATCTGAAAAGCGAGATGTTTTAGTACCAAACAAAGTGGATACTTACTTTTTCAATAGGAGCAGCAGGTTTAACACCTAAACGATCTTTAATTGACACTTTTGAGGTATTCTAAAAAAAAAGAAAAGAAAAGAGGGGTTGTTCTTACACATCCAGTGTAGATTTTGACATGTAAATGCAGGAAACCACATCTATCAAAGGACCGTCAACACATACCTGAGAGGCTACGCTGGAATCCTGAATAGGCTCAGAGTTTTCCGGCATAAGCGGTCCGAGCCGATCCTTCACAGACTGCTTCAGAGTCGTGGCTGATGGCTGTAACACAACACAGATTAAAATATTAATGTTTCAAATAAACTGCACTATTTTCTCTCCTGCTTTTTTAGAAGCATATCCCTAATCTTCTTTAGGTCAGTCACATATAACTCCCAGTAAAGAAAGCTGCTTGCTGAACGGACCAACGAAATTCAAAAGAGAAACAAATCCTTCAAAAATTATGTTTCACATCAGTCCCCTGTGATTATGTAAAGTTACAATATGCAGCTGAACAAATTATGATGAAATCTTTTGCATCTTTACTTTTTAAATTTAATCTGCTAACTAAAGATGGACTAAATACGTTTTTTTTTCCAATCCAATCTGATGGCTTGACTGAGCCATAGGCCGATATCTGATACCGATCTGATATCAGCTGTTGAATAAATTAAATATGTCGAGCCCTGTGAGTGAAGCTTAATTTACTTTAAACTAAGGTTAATTAACCTAAATATAAATGTACTAAAGCAAATAGATTAATCTGTAAATTGTTCAGAATAATAATCAGACAGCCAAAGGTTCCTTAAAGAAGGATTTTTTTTATGAAATCAAACAAGGTGAAACAAAAACTAGTCAAGGAAAGAAAACTAAAATGAAAGTGTTATATTTTTTATCTTATATGCAAAATGTTTATATAATTGTTAACACTTTTGATATAAATACTGCTCTAAGTGGGTCGCTCTGTTAGCTAGAAGCATGTTTTACAGTCTCAATAGTCCAAGTAATCATTAATCGATAACTAAATTAATTTATGATTATTTCAATAAAACATTAATGATTAATCTGATTAATTATTTCAGCCCTTATTTAATTATTTATTAACAAATAAGCAGCAAAAAGAAAGACATAACAGTTCCATGTAAAGTGTACTGGACTGGATCTATGATATCCAACAATTTACAATCCAGCTAATTAGTCAATATTGGAGTCCATATCCAATCCAGGTATTGGAAAAGTGCATCTAAACAGCTTAAAATAAACCTAAAGTAGAGGACAGTCTAGATTGTGACCCAAAACCCCAATTTCTTGTTAAGTAAAATGTAAAAAATATTGGTTTATCTTCAGTTTTAGTGCACTGTTTCATCCCAAGTTGCTTGGTATTAGATCAATAGGATCTTAAAAGCAAAACTGTTAAATTGCTGCTGTATAGGAAGCCTCTAATCTCTCCAGGACTTGTATCAGTTTAGTTAATACTATACATCATTGCAAAAGAGGCATCATATTTTTATTTTACCACAGTACCTTTAATGCTGCCAGATTCAAAGTCAAACAAACCAATGGGTTACGTCTTACTGCTTGTAATAGAAAAGTAAACAGTAACTGTGACAGGAGGGTCAGTTTGGAAATTAACTCCTACCATAGGTGATGGTGGTGGGGGATGAAGCTGTTGTGGCCGAGGTTGACCAGATCCATCACTCAAATCATCCCGAAACCAATGGACCTTGATGAATCGGTTATTGAGAACAGCTTCTGTGCTTTGCATAGCTCGTTTAGCCTCTTCAGGGGAGGTGAACTGGATCAGAGCTGCCTCTGGGTCATTCTGATAGGCCACCTAGAGGTATTAGCAGTAGGACACATTATATAAATTATGAAATCTGAATTTTTAAGCCTAATCTAAAAAGTTATATTATTAAACAAAGATGATAACACAATTTACTATTCATTTAAGAAGGTTCTGTGGAAGAAATTAGAAGACTTAAAACAGAATCCATCCTTATTTTTGTTAAACCAAAGCATACTCATAATCTAACTGGTTTTAACTAAGCAACAAGGTAGTGTTTTATAGAAGATAAGCTGTGAAGATACCCATCAGTTTCATTCAGACACTGACCTGCAAGTTAACAATGGTGCCAAACTTGCTGAAATGCTCATTGAGTTTGCTGATGTTGTTGAGCTCTGAGGGAATTTGCCGAACAAGCAACTTGGTGTTAGGAGAGAAGTGAGCTCTTTTGTGGTACCCCTGGTGGTTTGGTTTGTTGAAATTCGGTCTAAGTAGAGAACAGATATTTAGTCCAATTAAAGAATTATATAAACGGGTATTAAAAATGAATGCTTGCTTTTTCTTTAATACATACTTTTCAAACCAAGGTTTCTTGCCTGGTGGGCCTCCGTCATGAGAGAGAAGAGGCCTCTTTCGTGAATCAGATTCCATGACGATTCTCATACTGTTGTTAGGAATCTTGTCTTGAAAAATAAAAGTAAGGGCAGGTCAGAGACGGACTTGTTTTAACAAAAACTGAAGTTTTGGAGGATGACTATCAAACAACATAAACAAATTATATACTATGTACCACTATGCTTTCACATCATACGTTTGGATTTCAAAGTGCTTTTTTTTTTCTCCCATCGACAGATGGGAAAATGAATTGTGTCTGAGATACCTCTCAATGGCTGGTCCACCTCCCCCATTGTGAGGCCAATCAGGTTGGGTCTTTGGGCATTGACACGATGCCGGTACATCGGTCTGGATGTGTTGGTGATACTGGGAGCCTCAGGATTGTACACATCTGTGTCAAAGTGATCTGCTCAGAATAGATTAGACTCTCATGAACCTACCATACATGACAGAATACATGATATATGACAGGCTGCTGAGTTTTTGAGGCATTACCAGGGGTGAAAAGTGGAGCTGAGCCTTGAGGAAGGGAGCGCATCCCAGAGGTGACAATGGTTGGAACTGAACTGGTGATGGAAATTGGAGGAGCATCCATGCCTGAAGGTTGTAATGGAGGAAGAGGAGGAGGAGGACCTGTCCAAAGAAAAACAGAACTTAAATCAGAAACTACATCACATAACTGATTTGATCAAAAGACTAATTTTTTAAAACCGAATTGTCTATATAGCGAAAAATTGTCTAAAAATAAATGGAACACTCATCACTTAAAATGAATAATTCTCATTGGATACACTTATGTACAAAGCTGAATGTGCTGACAAAAAAGATTTGGAGTCACACACAAAATTAAAGTGGAAAAACAAAATACAGGCTGATCCAACTTAGATGTAATTTCCTTAAAACAGGTGAACATTAGCTCAATTTTGTGTGTGGCCTCCAACGCCTGCGCATGATGCGCATGCTGCTCATGAGGTGGAGTCTGGTCTCCTGAGGGATCTCTGCCCTGAACTCCCAGACCTGGACTAAAGCATCCGCCAACTCCTGGACAGTCCATGGTCCCAGATGTGGTCAATCAGATTCAGGTCCTGCATTAGGAGGAATCAGGGCAACAAACCAGCATATGGTCTCACAAGGGGTCTGGTGACCTCATCTTGGTACCAGTCATAATACCTGACCCACTGCGAAACCTGTCATGCTGAAGGATGTTGCAGGCAGTAGATCGCTCACCACCATGTCTACAGACTGTCATGTCTGGCACATGTGCTCAGTGTGGACCTGCTTTTATCTGTGAAGAGCACAGGGTACCAGTGGCAAATCCTGGTGTTGTTTGGCCAATGCCAAGTGTCCTGCACAGTGTTGGGGTGTGAGCACAACCCCCACCTGTGGATGTTATGCCCTCAAGGAGTTGGTTTCTAATGGTGTGTAGAGACACTACACTGACAGACAGAGCAAATCTTCTTGCAACAGCTTGTATTGATGTGCCATCTTGGATGAGCTGCACTACCTGAGCCATTTCTGTGAGTTGTAGAGTCTGTCTCATGCTACCAAGAGTCTAAGAGCACTAAGGTCAAAATTGATAGAAACATCAGGCAGCTGTGGTCCCCACCTGCAGAACCACTCTTTTACTGAGTGCATCTTGCTAATTGGTAATATGTTCAAGCTGTTCCATTTGCACAAGATATGAAACTGCTTCTCAAGTGGACAGTTTGGTATAAGTTATATCGTAGTTCCCAACCCTATTCCTTAGGGCAGGGTTTCTTAACCCTGGTCCTCAGGGCCAGGTGTCTTACGTGTTTTAGGTGTTTTCTTGCCTCCACACACCTGACCTGAATGAAAAGGTAATTAACAGGTTTTAGCAGCATTTGAGGGCCGTCAAAGAGGAAAAGCAATCATTTGAATCAGGTGTGTTTGAGCAGGAAAACAATGAATACCGAACTTTTCAAAACAGTTTCTTTTTTCTTTTTCTTTTGTATAGCAAATTAAAGACTACACTCATTAGAATACAATGTGGAATAAAGGTGACAATCACCGGGAGTATGAACAAATAAAAGCAAATGTAATCATATAAACCTTAGTTGGTTAAATAACATGTCATTTTGCACATCTCACATGTTGCTGCTATTTTCAAATATCAATTCCTGTAAAAAATGTCCATAGCTGAATAATGGTTATTTATTCTCCAGGTGCACAGTTTTATATTGTTAAAACACCTTACAGTATTTTATATTTTTAACTCTTCCCTATTATTTTATTTTTATTCATTTTTCTAAAGTCCACATTTGTTTGACCATTAATTCAATAATCTTTTTGCTGCTGTAAATTTCCCCATTGTGGGACAATAAAGAGATTTTCTATTCTATTCTATGAAAGGGGTAGAAAGATATAAGTAAATCTAAACAATGTATGTATAAATAAATATCTGCAAAATCTCTTATATTCAACAACAAAAAATACTTAGTCAAGCAAATTTTGCAAAATAGCAATAAAAAAAAAAATAAAAATCCTATCAGATTTATAGTCCCCACACTGCAGATATATTAGAATCTGTCCCTAAATTACAGCCAAACCCATTTAAACAGTGAGAGATAAAAACCTTTAGATAAATTAAACATTACCCGCCACATATCTGACTCAACCATTAAAATAACCATTTTCATTCATTTTAGACAGAACTATTCATACTTGTATGAATAGTTGTATGAATACGGATTAAACTAAACTTCCAATATTCAGCACTGTTCGTCGCCAAGTAACTTTTTCCACTGAGCACAGAGCAGCCGGCTTGCATGGACTCCGGGGATGACCAAGGATAGATAGGATACAAATCCGGCAAAAACAAGGATGCATTTGTAGGCCACATAACGAGGAGTCTTGGAATCTGACCAGACCTCAGCGCCACGCTATGACATAATCGTCCTTCGAATCTGACCTTTGGAGGACGCATCGCATACATTTGAACAAAGCCCTTTTTTTTTATAGGTGATGCATCACACCAGAAAAAGAATGGACAATTAATATGCTTCTGTAGGACTTGATTGCAAACAAGGAGTCCTAATTTGCATCAGGTGTGCTGAAATTAGACATATCTAAGACTACGTTCACAGTGCAGCCTGAAGTGACCTAAATCTGATTTTCTTTGCCCATATCCGACCTGTATCTGATCTTTTAATGGCATTCTGAACAACACAGATCGGATTTTTCCAATGCGACCCAGGCCACTTGGCTATGTGGTCGTGAATCCGAGGTGAGTCTTATTTTAAAATGCGACCTGTGTTTGAACGACCAGGTCACGTTCATCTGAGCTTAACGTCATTAATACTCAACAAAGGTCACTATTCTGCGTCTTACTACACAGAAGCGGGAAGAAAAACAACAACCATGGCGGCCGTTAATAAGGAGTGCAGAATTTTTTTTAACCATCTTGAAAAGATTGAGTTTTTACGGTTGGGAAAGATGGCTAGATGCGCTCCAGCATCCACGTTTACTTCCATTAATACAGAGCACGCTGGCCTGTGACGTCTTTGCGTCCTCTACTGCGCATGCAGGACACTTGCGTTGTATGAATGCAGTTCACACAGGAGATCACATCCAAGTCGCATTTATTTGGAAATGTAAACGGCAACATAAAAACAATCTGATTTTACAAAAATAATCGGAATTGAGCATTAAGTGAAAGTAGCCTTTAACATGCAGGTTGGGGGTGTCAGAGGGCCAGGGTTGGAAACCACAGATTTAGAAGCTTCAACTGGGTTTCCTTAAAAAACTCTAAACCACTCTGTCTGTATGATTTAATTGAATTGTCTCTGTTGAGTGCTTTGAAAAGAATTGTTGTCAATTGAAACAAAAAAAATTAAAGGAATAGATTTTTTTTTTTGTATCAGCTGGTAGACTACATGCTTAATTCAGACTGTCCCATAGAAAAAACGATCACCACAAAATCTAATGCTCCACAGTAGACGTAAATGTATGTAGAGGAAGCAATTCAGCCATTTTATTCAAATGTGTTGGAGCAGGATCAAACCTCAAAGTTGCAGGATGAGATTTTGAGACTCTTGATATAAAAACATTGAAGTTGTATTTGTAGGGTTACTTCCTACTGTTTGGTGAACCTGTTCCTAAGACTCTAGTTAAGAACAGTTGAATTTACAGTGAGACATTTGCACTCAGATTCCTTTACTAATAAAGTGCATTCTTAAATACAACTGCTCGCACTGGATTTTATTTAGAGACTTAAAATTAAAAAGTTAGCAAATTCTTTGGCGAGGCAGTTTATTTTGGAAAAACGAAAAACAAATAATCCCAAATCCCAACAGTCAGAAAACAAACTTAATTTCTTCAAAATATCATGGTTCCTACCTGCAACAGGTGGAAGACTGGGTGGCAGGGTGCCTGGTGGGGGCACAGGGGGTCGAAGGTTTACAGGTGGGGGGTTCAATAGTGGTGGTGGAGGTGGAAGACCTGGCGGTGGCGGCTGGTCTACGCCTGGCATCGGTGGAGGCTGGAAGGGCAATATACTGGGCAGATTGACATCCTCCACAACAACCGGATCACTCCCATGATCGAAGGGACACATATCCCCTCGCATGCAGAAGCCCTTTTCTGCAAACAGTAGATTGTTAAACAAAGCAATTATGGCCGCTTCAAATAAAGAATTAAAAAAGATCAATCAGCTCCTCTACCATCATAGTCACGGCATCGCTTTCTCTGTTGAGGTGGTGGTCCACGATTGAAAGGACCGCGGTCCATGGGGGCATCAGGACGAAAGTCTGACCAGCTCTCATTGGTGGTGCTATGATGATGAGTCGGGGCGATGACTGTGATAGTACTGCTCACTGTTGGATTGGGGAAGTGGGAAGGTGCAGTAGTAGAAACTATCACTGCTGGGGTGTAAACCTCACCACCCTCTGACCTGTCTACTCGTTCATGGTCGAACTTGAGCTTTCCTTGATCTCTGTCTGTGGAGACACAGAAGCAGCTGTATTTAGAACACTAAATTCCAAAATATACCAACTGAAATTCACAGACAATCAATGTGATATTAAAAAAATTTTCAGTGGCGTGTTTCAAATGCTCTATGATTACCTCGACTCCTGCTCCTGGACCGAGTTCTGCTCAGAGATGGGCTCCGGTCTCGATCACGATCTCTGTCTCTATCCCTATCCCGGTCTCTTTCCCTCTCCCTGTCACGGTCTCGAATGCGCTCTTTACTCCAACTTCGGCTGCGGCTTCGACTGTAACTGCGGCTTCGACCTCTTCTACGATTGTAACGGTCACGATAAGAATCCCTCCTTGGAGGCATGCGGTCATATTCCCTCTTCCTGGAGCGATCATCTCTCTTACGGTCATCGCCTCGCCTTAAAATGTTAAAGGCAATATAAGTCAAAAGAAAGGCCCAAACCAAAAAATTAAATCCTGTTCAGTGACAGCATACAAACCTTCCATCTCTGGGATAGCGGGAGCCTGACTGAGGAGGACTTTGATTTACTCGTCGAGGAAACTTCTTGTCTTTTTCTTCTTCACGATTTGGTTGTACCTGTGTGTAAGTAACACATATTTTGTAAAACTGTCTTTCTCAAAGAATTTGCTATGCATACATAGCTCAACTTTTTGTGGATGCTACAAACTGCATAGAGAAAAACTATTGAATTTGTAATTTTACCAAGATGGGATACAGAAACGATCTATCATATTTAGGGCCCCAACTAC